CTAGAGGAGTGACTCAGTTTTACAAACAATGTGGATGGATCAGAATAATAATAAATAAATAATCTTTTTTAAATTCTAAATTCTTTCAATAAGACTTGGTGCAATCAGAATTCTGACTGTTTCATCTGCCGTATCATAAGTTGCTCTTTAATTTAAGACCAAACAAATACTAATTATTCCTTTCATTTATATAGCTCTTTTCTGGACACTCCACAAAAAGAGCTTTACAGGCAATGGGAACTCCTCTCCACCACCACCAATGTGCAGCTTCCACCTGGATGATGCAACAGCAGCTATAGTGCACCAGAACACACACCACACATCATATAAACTGTATGTTTTTCTGACTAAATTTGAAATATTCTTCACTAAAGAAACAAATCATAGCAAAGTAGAAGGAAAATGAAAGTGATTGACAGAAAATGACAGAGAAATGGAAGGAGCATAGCAACCTCACATTAGGATAAGTTAGGTCTCCATAGGAAACATACTGACTTTGTTATAAGCAGCAGAGGGTCAGTGGCAGCCTGCGGCTCAGGGAACAATGTTTATTATGTGACCATATATATTACTTGCCAAATAAATAAATAACCACCTTTACAATACACACTGTCAATATTTACTTCAATAACTGTATATCACCTTGCGCAATGCTGAAAAAATAATTTAAAAAAAGTTTTTTGCTGTACTTACAAAAGGGTCTAGTACTTATTTTCCTGTATTATGTATTTCAAGGCTGTAGTTCAGACAAAATCAATCATAAAATTTACACTCAAATAGAAAAGACCTTGAGGAATTGGTTCAAATGAAAAAAAATATAACCGTCCTGTTTCTTTCTACCAAGCCAGTCGTACTGAAAAGAAATACAAAAAAAAGATTACATACAGTATATTATAAAACCACAATACAGACTCAATGTTTTTGCCTAATTTGTTATTTTTTCTTTTTCTAATTCAGATTAAAATGTATATTTTTAGGTAACATGAAAAAAATAACTATCTGCATAAAGAAATCTTTAATTGCTTAAGAAAGAACCTCTTTCACCATTAATTGTTCTAGTAAGCAATTGGTATCTCTGCTGAATCCAACTATGCAGTAGGAGTATGCTGATAAATGATGCTGTGCCCCATGTCAGATCAGCACACCACAATTGGTATCCATGTCTGTTTATTTGCCCTAAAGGTACCAATGGGGGATATCCAGTCTTCTGCAGGAAGCCTTATTGCCTTGGAAAGTCAATCTAATAAGGAACTGCATGAAATACAATTAAAGTAATAAGACAGACAGACTGGGAAACCTCCCTGAAGACTTCTAGAATGCTTAGATCTGAATAATCTGACCCCTTGAATAATCTAAATAGACCTCCGTCTCGCAGAGCAAGAAGCACCAACTAGCATTTCCATAAAAAGTAAAAGTCTGTTAAACAGAAGATATTTATGAGGGGTTATCTATTGTCAGCTGCGGTAATTAAATAACCTAGTTAATGTAAGAAAAATGACAAGCTGAGCTGCTAATGAACAGTCTGTGAATACTTGACATAGACACTCATACTGTACTGTATATACAGTACGTATATCAAGACTTCACAATCCGAGTACTCTGACTGAAGGTGACTTTGGCTGTGGTGGTGAAGATGATGATGATAATGCATGTGTCATTTTCTTTTTTCTGCTTTCTTTCACTCTAATTCTTTAGTTTTGTCATGCATTTGGCCTTTCATAGTTCTTCATGTTACAGAACAGCCATACATTAGGAAGCTCCAAACAAATCTACACATCCCTCACCAAACAGTGTGCATGGTGTGGATGTGAAGACAATTCATTTTTTACTCTCCCATTCTTGCCTTGACCTGCTCGGATAACCTGTAACTACATCAAATACATTGATTGGTCTTTTCTTTACTACTGTCAACATAAAGAAAAGAAAGAAGGTTATTACAGTAAGCACATTTTGCTTATTTGGTACTGTATTTTAGTAAATCAATCCAAAATGAAATCTATCCCCATCTTCAAGGAGTCCTGTGTTTGGATCTCAGCCACCAAATTGGAAATTTCCAGATACTCACAGTGTTCTAGCCCAAATAAATGTCCTTACGCTTCCAACTGGGACACTATGTACTGTGCTTGTTTCTCTTGGAACAGTCACATGGGTTGACCATATTTACAGTATGTCCCTTAGTGTTTTATATACCGCGAACAACGATCCTCTCGATGTGTTTAGTTCTACATTGCAGATATTTAAAATCCCTTAATCTGTCTGCATATTACAATTTCCTGAGACCAGAAATCCTTCTTGCTACTCTTCTTTGAACTCTTTCTAAGGCTAAGGCATCTATTTTGTGTCTGGGTGATCTGTACTGAATACAATATTCTGAAATTGATCTTTAACACTTGTAAAGGTAGAGCATACAGTACAGTACCTTCCCTCAACTTGAATTGCAACTGTTTTGCTATCTAGTGCCTCGCAAAAGTATTCACTCCCATTTAATGAAGGCCCATTTTGTTAAGTTAATAATGATGCATATACATTTTAAAGTGATTTATAAATACATAACATGTATACACAAACTGAACCACAAGTCCAACACTACACTGAAGTGGCTTAACAAGAAGAAAGAGAATGTCTCTGAGTGTGACCCAGTAAAATTCCTCACTTGAATAGAATAGAATAGAATATCTGTGTCAAAATTTGAATATTGTTGTCCATCAAAAATCCCAAGATAACTTGACAGGTCTTGAGCAAGTATGCAAAAATGAATGGGCAAAACCGTTTCATCCTAGTGTGCAAAGTGAGTACTATCCAAAAATCCTGTAAAAAAGTTATTATTGTAGTTATATGTTATTATAGACTCTGTTCTCCTCAACACAACCAACTCTGCCCAAAGACCATAGAACAGGCTTCAAACTTTAATCTTTGATCTTTCCCTTAGCTCTGGCAGCTCTACATTTACAATACCGCAGTGTTCAGCTCAGGACATACCTTCAGCAGTGAATCTATCGCCTTCATTAAATACCAACTTCTGTTGTTGGCTGTTTGCTAGCTTACTCCCCATAACCTCCATTATTATTTTCACACTTCCCTGCATTCAGTCTATTAGATTTGTCTTGTTTGTTGCCATCCATCTTTCTTGTTTATTCTTCCTCAATTTTTCTCTCTCCCTGAACCTCATTCCTTTTCCAGATTATAGGGTACTGGAGGTTGCTTCATCATTTTCTCAAGAGGGTATTAAATCCACATCAACTTTAATTTCATTGGATGCAGAACCCCCTTGTCACTTCTTCTACATATTTCACAACAATTAGAAGAAATGCACCTATTGCAAGGACCTTTGACTCATAGCTTCCACTTCAAGTTAGTCATCTCTACCTAAATCATTATCTGCATTGCACAACCTTTGATCACAGTTGCAAGAGTTGCAACACTCAGAGTTGAGTTGCAACACTCAGCTCATAAAGTTGATTTGGAATATGTTTTATACTTAGCCTGTTGACTATATTCCAAAATGTATTTTCTAATTGGATGATGGCGCTCCTTGTGCAATGGAGTTTTTAATGAAAGTTCGAGAAGTGTGCCAGCAACCAAGTTCTCCCTTTGCTGTACTAACTCGTAATTCCCCATGCTGCCACTTCCTTTATAACTAGAAATAAAAAAAGAAGCTTCTCATTGTCAGCTCATATGAATTTTTCTGCATTCCTTTTCCACCCGATCTCCATCTTTGCAGGTACACTTTGGTTAAATTGTCTCACTATGGAAATCTGAGCTCTTTTGAGCAGTTTAAGTTTCTAATCAATAAACTTTTGTAAATATATTTTCTTGTTCAGTTAAGATATTCCTCATGAAGTGTGACATAGGGTCATAATTAGCAAATGTAAAAAAACAAATTCATAATATGGGCAACTACAATAATAAAGAATATAAATATAATTATGGCACAGTTGCAAACACAAAACACAATCTTCGAGATTGCCTATATATTTATTTCATATAACTCCTATATTTTTGCCTCGTGATAATTAGAAAGAGCACTCGTTTATCTGACAGTTTATGTTCAAGTAATGTGTTCATTTGTGCCACACAATTTAGAGTGTGGGAGGAATCCCATTATGATAAATATGAGTGTGTCACTAAAAAAGGCATTAAAATATAGTTTATCTGGGTGTGCTTAACTCATTAATTGCATAAGAAGCTACAGACATTCTCACAAATGTTTAGTGGTTTTGGAGGTATATCTAAAGGTACAGTATGATTGTAATGTAGGAGATGATTTGGGGTAGCACCAGTTTTGAAGATTGTTTTAATAGAAGTAGTTAAAGCACAGGAGTTTAGTTTTCAGTGCACAGAAAATTAGTTTCAGTAGATTTTTAAGAAGTTTGGATTTGCATTAACGTGAGGGGAGGTGGATGTCTCCATTTCTAAATTCGTTTTTTGAAAATTATACATAAGTTTTTATTTAAGAAAATATTTTAATTTCTCAATGAACACCAGGAAGCCACTCACACTTCAAGGTACAGTATCACACTACCAGATACTAATGATGTAACACAACAGGCGACTTGTCTTTAACTGTTCAGATTACATGGGATTGTCGCTCAAGGCTTTGTCTACTGTGACTTTACTGGAGGCCCTTAAAATACTTTTCATGGACAAACTATGCCATTTTGTACACTCACCTTCTTGCAGGTAGTCCTGTTTTTCACTGATTTCTGTTTTCACATTTCATGGTTTACAGTATCGTGGCCATTTCAGTTATGTTAAGACCAAAACAATGACAGATGATTATGTTGTCAGCTGAAATGAATTGAAAAATACTAAAAATGCTTCTTAACATTTAACTCACTGATAGAAGATGGAAAAGCTTAAAAAAGAGACAAACCTCATATTTGCAAAACAGTATTTTATTAGAAATATTTTTTGTATAAAAATGAACATGCTCTACACCTTTTTTTGTCTGATTTTTATAGATAATTCATAAATATCCAGGCACTGTAATTCTTTTTTTGTGTTTTTTTTTTTTAATTGGTCAGTACATAAAGCAGACATTATCAATCCATTTTAATAACATACATGAACTTGCCATTTAATTTGGTCAGCACTTACATACTCTATTTTGCAACACAGACAAAGTGTTGAAAAGAATAAAATAGAGGGGAAAATGAATACCAGTAAACCTTTTTTAATACACAATCACAAACAATCCCACTAATTTCTTAAAGAAAAATGTTTTCTCGATGTTGCCGTAATACAATATCTGCCGTTTTGTTGAAGTGAAGAGCGGAATATTGCAGAAAATTAGTCATTCTGTCCTTCGCATGTTTTATTTTAAAAATCTTAACTTCGGCCGGTTTCCTTCTGGAGCTTATAAAACCATTGGTCTTAGGGGTCGCTGACATTTTTACACAATGTGGCATGAAGATGATACAAGTAAGAATTATCTCTGTTTTGTCTTGCAAAATGGAACCTTTGAAGAGATAATAGCACCCGGTGGTCATTAAATAGCTTCTAAATGATACCTTGGTACCTGACTGTATTGTAGTATGTTTGCACAGCCTAGCAATGAGTTTGTTTTCGTGCTTTGTTATCTTATTTTCACCCCCTTCTAGGCAACAGTCATTGTGGTATTTCCTCCACAGTGATTTGACATCCAGAGAGAAACCTAAAACGAAGTTCCAGTTTTGACACAGAAGGGTAAGGTGAAACAAAGAACATGAGAAAAGCTAAAATATACAACTGCAAAACATTTTTTGCAGTGTTTTGGCTATTAAAAGAATTAGACCCTAAACGTTCTTAAACAAAATAGCTATACATCCTACCTATCCATCAGTCTTACAACACAACTCAGCCTTTCTGATTTTTTTTAATTCTCTGGGAAGAAAACCTTGCAAGTTGTAAGGCAGTCTGGTTCAAGCATAAAACTAATCCTGTAAAAAGAAGGACTTCAAATGATCACGCTATTTAGTGATTCAAATTCAAAGGCAAGATTGTTTTATATAAGGATAATTTAATTTGCTCTGTGCACTATGGTTTTGTGAACAATGTTGAGTTCATACCTTTACTTGTTATTACTTGCTTGGTGGAAAGACTGGCTATTTTGGTGGCAGTGTGGCTTAGCTAACACAAAGAGGGGAGGCAGTGGGGCCTAGAGGCCTGAGCTACACCTGAAGCACATTCTACTACATAAGGTGCTTGATGTAGGGTCAGTGTTGAGTTTAAGATATAATGTGCTAGTGGAATAGTTTCATTACATTAGGGTTAATAAGCCTTAGATTTCAATAGACTAAATACGAAAGCAAAAATCACTAAATCCTGTCACTCAGGCAGAGTGCATAGTCAGTGGGCATTCAACTAGGAGAGGTAACACCACGTTTTCACATTATTCTACCAAAATGCACAGACATTTTGCATTCCCAACACTTTAAACAACACAGTGCACATAATGTATTCTTACAGACATGCTAAACATCTGTATACAATGTCCACAACAACTGTTCAGGCAGTCTTACATTGATTGCTTTCATAATCCTTTACATTACTTGTGAGGGTTACAAAGAAAAAGCAAATGATATGTAATATCTAGATTTTAGTATTAAATGCTTTTCACTGCATTTAATATTTATTATTAACAAAAACGGTTATGCATCAAACCAAATATAGAAGGCATGCCCAAAACAATTATTCAGTGCACAGCTGCAGCTGAGATGCACATTACCAATTCTTAACCTGCAGGACTAGAAATGGTTCACATATCCTGTCAGATTTTTATTAGTTCAGGTTGTCCAAAACCTGAAGACAATATGGACTTCCAACTGTAATGCTGCCTTTTTATTTAATGGTATTTAATGATAAGCTATAGATATTCATAGTTAAAATCTCCTTATCCTCTTGCCATCATTTCCAATCAAAAATGTATTCAGAAGTACTTGCGTGGATGTTGATCTACTCAACACTTGTTGAGTAGAGGTGTCCTTGGGCCTTTAGCAGAAATAACCCCACATGAGCACAGCTGCTTCATTGAAAACCAGGAGCAGTTCCATTACTGAAGCGTATAATATTACTTTGGCCTATAGTGAAGGTGGGAGTAAGATAGCTGCAGCTTCTACATACCAAGTAAAACAAACACTCCTATTCACAACTCTTTACAAGGCCATTTTGTCTTCATTTCCTGGTCTCCTGCTGTGATGTACAATACAGATCTACTGAAACAGGAAAGGGCATTGCTGCCTTCATTTGAAATGAAAATACTTTGCCTAGACATAATATCTTAGTTTATTTTTTTCTACAGTTTTTCTTAAAGCAGCTTGTTCCATCCTTTGCATCATTTGTCTTCACCAAGTAAACATGATGAATAAATACAAATTGTTAAGATTGCCTGAATCATTCTTACAGACACTGAATATGGATTGACACATACAGTATTAGACAACACTCTGTTTAGGTTAGCTCTCCAGGTTTAATGCCCTCCCTTAATTATCAGCCACTGGTGTCCTGCTGGTATGATTAAAAACCTAAACACAAAAAGAGCTAAAACCAAGAATTTCCTGTATTCTGGCTTCACTACCTTCACTGTTTTCACCTTCAAGGTATTATCATAGCAGGTAGAAGGAGTGTTATTTACTGTTCACAAAGCTTGCAAAATACAATAGCACACATACACAAAATAAAACACAGCTTCAGTTTCGGTGTCGTTCCCACAAAGAAGCTCAAGTCAACTTCAGCAAAGACATCTCGAAAACAAAAGCAAACTGTGTTATCAACTCCAGAAGGAAAACTCCATCCTGAAGTAATCTTCTGCAGTTACCTTGGAAACTTCGCTGTCAGTTGCCTCTGTCGGTCGCTAGGACACCACCTCATCCTTAGTGACCCCCAAGGACCTTTCCCTGCAGCTTCTGTGGCATTGAATTGCCATGCCTAGTCCCCTGATTCTCTTTCATTTGCATTTAAATTTAATTTTTTTTATTGTAATCCCCATTTTTCCTTGTTTTCAGTCATCATTGTTCAGCATGGTGAGCTCTCCTGTGCGAGGTCAGACCCTGTCACTGGGAGTGGGCGTCCCCGGTGTTAGATTGCATGGTTGCTGTAGCTGATGTAAGTTTGCTTGGATGCCAACACTATGAGGAGAAGAAAAGAAAGAGACAGAGAGGGAGACCATGATGCAGAGAGGACAGTACGAAACAAAATACTTCAAGCCTAAGTCAACCCTTTGATTTACCCATGCACACCAAGTCATCGTAGCGGACACTAGTCTCCAGTTCCAAAAACGAAAAACTCCAGATGATTCTTTCCTCACCAAGTTTCAAACTAGTGAAACATAGGAAACTAATTGACCATAACAGGATCAACAGGGCAATTATGTAGAATGGGATTAGAAACATTTTTTATATTTAGCTTTGCCAATTGTATGAAATATTTGTACACTCCTGTGTACAGTAGTCTTGGCTAGCAACTGTTGAACAACTAGCATGGTTTGATTTGTACAGGGTAAAAAAGAATTAATTCAACAACAAAAGAAAACACTGCTGTCACCCTAGTTTTGTATATCTGCTGCTTAAATTGGTACTTTTCTATAGACTTAACCAGACAGCAATGGCAAATGTCTTTTCAAAAAGTGTTTTTTACCTAACTGGTTTTCCTGTGTCATATTCGGCCTCCATTGAAACCTGCAACATTTTGTAAGCTGAAACACTTAGCTTTTCTTCTTTTGCATTTCCTAGGCATTTTAAAAATGTGGTTTGTGTCTGCCCTCCCTGTACTGCAAGGTTTGAAGTGCTGAGAAGTTCAGCTTTGTCTGGGCAGCAGTGAATGAGTGAAAACTTATTTACTCACTCGCTGATGGGCATGATTCAAAGGAAAAGACTGAAAGCAGCACTATGTAGTGATAAGAGAAGCAAAAATTGTCTCTGTAAGCACAATGCAATTTCATATAGTTTTCCACAAAGTGTGTGAAAACTGGGCATTGACACACTAAAAGGAGAGGTCCTGAATATGCACAATATACTGTATATATAATCCCATTCCCACCTGTCATATTCTGACACTTTTATGAAGTCCTAATAAAAATATCTTAAAAAACAAGCAAAAACCATAGTCCAAAAACATAACATGCACAAAAGGGATCAGACACAAACACAGCAGCATCTAGCAGCTGTGCCATGTGAATCATGCAGGTCCTTGTGCAGACACTCATGCAGAAGGCTGATATGTACAATTTTATACAATTGCCTTTGACATCTCAAACAATTAGGAGTTATAGTGTATGTGTTCTAGGAGCATCAGGCATTTGCTCAAAGCCTCCACCACTTGTTTTTTTATAACATCTGACTGCTACTATTCTCCTCAATCCATCTTAGTTTGAATGAGAGTAGCTTAAGCCTGCCATTTATCACTCTTTAAATCGCCTCGATCAGAATGTCCAAAAACTTTGCCACCAACAACTCAAGCTGCACATGAGCAGCCAATGACAAGTGCTGTAGCTAATCGATTACATATGCCAATTAAATGTAATTAACTCACTGTCAGGTAGTTCTCGTCAATTACATCGTTTGTTCATTTCTACACATCCACAAAGCTACAAGGCTACTTTATGTACTACAAAATGCAGATTTATCATTTATCATAATTGTTAGCTTGTAACACGATGGATAAAACAGTAGTAGAAGACCACACTAGTATTGCATCTGTGCATAAACAAGCACAAACACTGAGTGAAGAGAACAGGTTTATCAGCACCTCAGGATACACTGTATTTGTAGGTACAGTATTGTTATCCTATATTGGAGGATAATCATTAAAGGGCTCTGTGTGTTAAAATAGAGTTATAGCACTTACTAAAGTCACTATACACAAAGGAAACAACACTGGTATGCACTAACATGTAACGGTGAAATTTTTTCAGTCATCTCCAAATATTTCTTCCCTTATCTTGTCAGCCCATCTAACCTAGAAACTATCTTACACCAGGCATTTTGATTTAACATAAATTGGCCGTGCTTAACAGAATGGGTATGTGTTGCTTTGACTTCATGACACCTGTATGCTCTTAAGAAACATTAAAGATTAAGACTATAACAATCATATCTGCAAAAGACATAATATGATCAGCATTAAAGACAAACAATGGTATTGCTTTTCTTTATTTAAGTCACCACAAACAAAATATATTCCCTTTTTCCTGTAATAAGAAAAATAATGTTTTTTGACAGGATCGATGCTCAGGTGTCAATCTAACATTCCTCTTCAGAGAGGGTCTTTCATTCTAGTTTGGCCCCACATCTTTTAATAACTGAATTACTTGAAGTGAAAGACCAGTGACTGAGCCACAAGTCTATCTTAAAGGGGGGGACTTGGCAAGACTGAAGAAAACAGCAGCAGCATTCATGCTCATAAATATTCATTCCCAATCTGCTTTAGAAAGAATGAGAAATGAAACAGATTTTGACATTTGACTATCTAAGATCCTTTTTACACATTGATGGCTTTACAAAAAAGTGCCTGCTTTGCATCAAGGATTTTACGTTCTTTAAAATTTGAGAAAACAAGTGACTAATGGCCATCAACTGCCACAATTCCCTCGTTGAGAAATTTGGGCAGATTCACTATTGTTCTAGAAACAAATGTCATGCAGATGATAATTAACCATATCTATTTTTGTGTAATTCGAAATGGAAAAGAAGAAAATTGAACATAATGTACATTACCCATTTTACAATCAGGCATAATTTACTTTCCAATGAAATTGTTGGGGCAACATGGTGGTGCAGTGATCAGCATTGCTACCTTGCAGCTCTTGAGCCATGGGTACATTTCCAGACCTGGGGTGCTGTCTGTGGGGAGTTTGTATGTTCTCCCCACTTTGGTGTGGGTTTCCTCCAGGTGCTCCGGTTTCTTCCCACAGTCCAGAGACATATTGATATGTTAATTGACCCTGTTGTGAGTGTGTGCGTGTCTTTGTTTGTGTCAGTCTGCCCTTCAATGGACTGGCATCTTGACTGGCAGGGTGTATCCTGCCTTGCGCCCATTGGTTGCCGGGATAAGTTCTGGCTCTTCCATGAGCAGGGAAATACATATCTTTTGTTGGCATAATTACATGTGGCAAATGGCATTAAATTCCAAATCAGACTTAGTCAGAGAGAGGAAAAGTTGCTTCTGTTTGCTGTTAAGAAAATGTAATATCTGCCTTCTGTAACAAAAGCTGCATTTTTGGATACTACGTTTTAAGTTTAGCCATTTTCTAACTCAACTATAAAATGGGTGTCATGCTATGTTTTTGTTGGATTAATAGATACTCTAACACATTTTCATGCTACTTATGATAAAAAAGTCACTGCCAGTTCTTCGCATTTACAAATGTAGTCATAGACACAGATTTTTACAGTGACGCTGAATGCAACAGCACATTGCTTTGAAGTCACTTGTGAAAATTATCAAAATAGATCTGAAGAGAAAGGACAAGAAAATATTTCGCTTTCTCCCATGCACAGAAAAAATGCCCCCGAGGATGAACAGAAATGCAATGACGAGTCCTGCATCACGTTGATCATCTGGCAGCCAGTCTGACCAGGGTCAGGGAGACGTTACTCAGGGCAAGCTCCTGTTGATACTCCTGGTGATTCTCATGAGGGCAGAGTAAGAAAGGAAGGAGGAATCTTTTAATCACAAAGTCTCCGTCATCAGCTTGGCTGGGCTGCTGTGTAATCACAGCACACTGCCACCAATCCTGTCGAGACCCGTGTTAGCTCATTCTATGAGTCAGCCTGGATAAATCTGACCAGGGCCAGTTGCTGACAGCTGCATAGCAAAGGAGGAGGGTGCTCTTTATATTGAACCCAGCTCCCCTCCCCCTGAGTAGCAGTGATAAATGAACCCTATTTAAATATTTATGCACTGCGAGCTCCAGATAAAAAATAGATGGTCCAGAAAGAATTGGAGTTGGCAGTCCCATCTGTCTTTCTCTCTCCCCTCTTATTGTTGTTGTATGCCTTATTATAGCAAATTCCTCAGTTTGTCAATGAGAGAAGCAAATTAGGGGGGAAGCAGGGTTATCAATTGTTCCTCAGTTTTGGGTAGATTGATGCTTTCTCCATCAACATGGAAATCCATGTCCCCATCCTAACTTGTGCTCCTGAATTGTTAGTGGGTTGAAAAAGGGACATATGCAGGGATGTATGCGTTACATCACAAGGATGCACCGGACCTCAAGCATTCTAATGTAACATTTTGGCTCCTTACAGAGCACCTGGTATCAGATTTGTTGGGTCAGGTGCACCTGTTTCCCAAAACTGCTAGGTCACTTAGGCAGGTGAACCTAATCTTCTAAAAAGGCTGCTAAAGCAGAAGAGAGTCAGGCTGTGTCTCAATTACCTTAGTTCATAAGTCAGAGCCACTCACAGCGTTTCCTTCCTTCAGCAAGCTAGTACAAGCACAGAAGGTCGCAGTTAGTCAATGGGCCTTTGAAACTCAAAGCAAGAAAAGGACTCACAGTTAGGCTAGGAGACTAAAGACCACACGTCCTCAATTTCACGCTCTGTTTCTTGCTTTCTGAACTGCTTTTCTGATAATTAAAGGTCAGTGCGTTGTTTGAGAGGGTGAATGGGTTTATTTTGGAACCCAGAAATTTATGGATACGATAATCCCCAAAAGGCACAGTGCAAAATCACTAAGTGTTTGAAACTTGAGCGTCAGTATACTCCATACACAGGGTATTTTTCTAAGAAGAAGGAAACTGTTACAAGATGTTTGGACCACATTCTGGGTAGTTTTTGCTGAATCAGATTTGAAAACCATTATCTCTCGATATGGTACAGAGCCACAGCCCTTCAGAGCTGCGGGCAATCTATTGGCATCTGTGTACTGGCAGCTACAGTATTAAAGACCTGAATATACAATATGATCAAATGTTTCAGGAAGGTAACTAACATAATGAGTTAGACTTGCATCATACTGTAAACTTATTTCATGTTATTATTATAATATGTGTGCTTAATAAACCCCTTGCTAGTAAATGAATGGCTAATTAAAGTAATCTCAATTAAACAACCTTCAGAAACAGAGTCTAAGCTGAACCAATGTTAACTTAAAGTCAGTGTTGCCCTAGTACACGGCATGATGTTTTGTTTAAGCAGGTCCAATACACGTAAAAACTTCTGTCATGTTACAATAAGCATGTCTCTACTCCCCTTAAAAGAGCTTTCATTTTTTTACAGTGCTTACTGCCCAATGTTAAAAAAATATCAGTTTTCTCAAGGACCACTTATGATAACGAGATACAGGTGTAGCTGTCTCAACTCATTTTGCTGCAGCCATGTTTTCTCTAGGTCAGGTCTAATCATGTTAATATGACAGTACTAGGGATAGAAGCTGCCCCTCCTGTCTTGATCACCTTGTGTTTCCAGGCTCTCGCACAGCTCGGACTTGGCTTCTCCATTGGGCCGGAAGCTGCCCTTCTGGGTGAACTTGTTGGACATGGTTGCTGCCGTCACCACAGCCTTCAGACTGCGCTTGCGTTTGGGCACATTCTGCTCAGGGTGGAAGAGCACGATGTAGACCTTCGGCATGTAGAGCATCCCCAGAGACACCGAGGCACTCAGGCTGACTGAGATCGTCAGAGTGGTCGTCTGGATGTACATCTGAGAGACCAGAGAAACACAAATGCTCATTGCAACATACTGTATTACCATTCACCTGACACCAGTGTTTGTAAATGAACGATGTAGGTTTCACTTCACTGTACAGGGTAGTCTGTCTTGTTATTACTGAAGCTTCTGCTTGGTTTACCAGAATAAGGTGCAGGCTTGCATTGTTTTGTTTTGTTTTTGGCAACAATCATCTTTCCTTGTTTAACAAGCATTTACTGATATTATATGAAGGTTTCAGAGCATTTAATCATTTTGAAAAATGGCACCCCTGGAACACATTTGCAAAATGTCATTACTACCTGATTCACCATTATTTTTGGTAATAAATGGCCAGCTATGTAAGAAATAGTCCCAATTTCTATTCATTCTTTAATCTGTGCTGTTATACAATGAGTTTATTTCATTGTGATGCTGTATGCTTACACAGTATTACGACCACTTTGCTGACTCCTTGCTGATAATCGACTCAATAATGGCCAACATTCTGACCCCAAGAGCCTCTTCATTGCTAGCTGAGAGCATTCTGAAAGCATTACTGTGTTCAAATCGTTTAGGTCTTCTATTATCCAGGGTAGCAGAGAAACACAATGATGTCTGGAGTGCTTGATTTCTTCTATAATAGATTTTTGGCTCACAAAGTAAAAATGCAAAATGCAGTTGTGTTCTATCTACGATATGAAATGGAATACTAATGGAATAATTGGCTAATAATCTCCATAGCAATGGCCATCACGCATGTCTCACCTAGGCCACAAATGGATTTTAAATACAAGATGGGCCTCCTGAGGGGCTTAACAAGTAATGGCACTCACTTGAGTGCAGGTTGCACTCTAGGACCAGAAATTGAGGATTCAAGCCTGGGTTATGTCACAAGCTGACTAACTGGGATTCCCCTAGCACCAGTACCACTGAGTGTAAGGTGGGACCAGGGCTGTCTTGGCTGTCAGCAGCACACCTACTGTACACTTGGCTGCGCTGCCTGTGATGTGCTAAAGAATGAGGTCTTAGAGGTGGAAGTTGAAGGAGTCTGCCCACACTTCTGACCTTCTATAAAGCTGTGAGCTGAGACATGATGGCAATGAACTCAATTTCAAATCAGTTGCGTGTAACAAAAAAAAACTGGTGATTCCAGATGTTATTAAAAAATAAAAACACAAGCTATCGCTTTGGACATCTTTATAGCACTATCTCCATACTATTCCAGGATGTACATAATGTCAGCAGTAGCAAGTAAGCAAGTTTGTTAGTCTTCAATGTCTCAATTATTAAAAACTAGGGAGTGAAAAAACAAAAAAAGACAACTGATTGCATAAATCTTGAGCTGTAAAAAAGAGACACAGGCTATTGATTTAGTACGAGCTAAGAAATTGGGTGCTTAGTGTTACTGTATAAAGGTTTAGAATGCTGGTCTAATAAGCAAAAATGAGTAAGCTGATTCAATCAGACTGTTAAATCAGACTGGTTTCAACTGGCATTTTTATTTAAACAAAATAGTTGATTGGATATTTTTCCTAGTCTTTCACAACTGAGGATTTAAAGATAACTAATCAACCTACTATGGATTATTATAATTGCAGATGACTGGAAAAAATAACCCCAGAGTGCACTTCAGGAATGATACTGAGTATACTGTATACAGTATTTACAGTACAAGTACGCAAAATGCTTGCTGAAATTTGGAATAGTTTGTAAAATAGATGAAGGTGTATAAATATCTTAGCCATTGATAGCATGGATAATCCCAGTGTTCTGGAGCCTGTGGTTAGCATTAGCCCAGATAACACAGAGCTTGTGACTTGTACTTGTGGATTTAACAAATATCTTAGAGCTACTGCTGTCTCACCTCCTCTAAGGATCTGGAGTATGACTTCTTTATAAAGCACAGGGATGTGGACAGGAGCTGCTCACTCCCCAATGCAGTCTTTTAATTCCTTCTCACAGCCACCAGAGCACATCTCAGAGCATCTTGTAATCAAATCTCTATTTCCTTTTCTTTTTTTTCCTATTTTCTTTTTCATTCCCCCACACACGTAGCCGAGCTGCTGTGACCACCTCTTGTTTGTTAATTTTCTGCAATGCTGAGTTTAATATCGCTGCTTCATCAACCTTAAAACACTTTCCCCAGTCTAGTCAATTATTTCATTCACTGTGGATTCACGTTCTGTGTTGCTCTTAGCATTCCCCATAAAAACAAATAATCTTATGAAAATTTCATGTTTCATGGAACATTTAGAGGCTGGTGGGGTTATTATTCTGCTGCTGTTTGTTTGTTTTTTCACTTTGTTCCCGCATTTTCACAACAAAGTCACATTAATTAGATAGTTTATAGAGTAGGGAGAGAGGCTGGAGTAGCAGAGTAATTCTCTGGTAACAATAGCAGTGAGTACAGCCATCATTCTCCCTCTGTTGTCATGGCCAACAGATATTGAAATGGATATTGAAGACTGTCTATTTACACAGAAGTACTTCCCTGTCACATGGCAAATCAACCAAAGACCAACCAACTCTTTATATTCCTGACATTTCTACTATACTTCCCTTCATATTTAAGTTGAAACTTCAACTTCATTATATTAGTACAGGGTGAAAGTTTCTGTTAATTTCTCATATACAAGTACTCTGCTACTAGTATGTCACCCAACAAGACTTGCAAGACCTGCACTTTATAGAGGTGCAGAGAAAATGTTAGTACCTCAATTAAGAAAATGCACATAACACTTCACAAACGAGAGCCAGCAGCCATATCACCCTGCAGCTCTCAACTGGCTACCCACTGATGCTAAGCAGGGTTGAGCCTGGTCAGTACCTGGATGAGAGACCTCCTGGGAAGCTATTGTTGCTGCTGGAGTTGGTGTTAGTGGGACCAGCGGGGGGCGCTCACCCTACTTTCTGTGTAAATCTTAATGCCCCAGTTTAGTGGCCGAGACACTATACCGTAGGGGGCGCTGTCTTTCGGATGAGACGTTAAACCGAGGTCTTGACTCTCAGAGGCCATTAAAGATCCCCGGGCATTTCTAGATAAGAGTAGGGAGTTATCCCGGTGTCCGGGCGAACTTTCCACCTTCTGCCTTTACTGTGGCCTCCAAATTGTCCCCATGTATTATTGGCTTGCACTTGCTCTGCGATGGACTGGCACCCCATCCAGGGTGTACCCTGCCTTGCACTCATTGCTTGCCAAGTAGGCTCCAGATTGCCGTGACACCATACGGTATAAAGTGGTTTGGTAAATGACATGACTTCATAAATGAATAATAAACTATTTACACATAGTTGTACATTATTACAATTTTCTTTATATGAAAATGGTGTTTATAAACATTATTAATAATAGTAGAGGTAATTGAGAATCAAGCTGTTTGCACTGCATTAATAATGCTCTACTATCATTATAGATTGCAAGACAGAAATGAAACTCATTTTGTCTCATGAGATGGCATTGTTATTATATGGGAACAAGTATTAGGTTTATTCCATTCTGAAAAAAAGAAGGAAGAAGGAAAACACTCTCCAATGTAGATGGCTTGGCATTTACTGCAAAAGATACAGTAAATAAGGCTGCTGGAGGTACAAGATGCCATCTGGGTGATCCGGAATTGTCCTGAGGGGCCTTGAATGAGTGTGGTGTTAGATGTGTACTTGCAGGTGATACAGTGAGCTCTGTTGCAAGGGAAAGTGCCTGGTGTGGATGGTTGCTGAATGCGGTCAAGGGAGCTGTGAACAAGAAGGTTGCGCGGATTATGTGGTCGGCGATATGAGATAATGGGATGGTCAGAAAAGAGGGCCCCAATGGAGGGAACATCCTGTAGGATGGAAAAGTTGTCGTTAATAGTCCTGAGGATAAGAAGTATGTTGGGGTGGTAGGGAAGCACCAAAGGAATGCGGTTGTTACGATGTGAGTTCCTGATTGAGTTGATGGTCCGAGGGGTGTTTTTGGCTCGGGCAAGGGCCCTGTTAATAACACTGCTGGGGTATCCTCTGTTGATGAAAAAGGAGTACATTTTGAGGGCTTGGTTCTGGAAGTCAATGTCGTCGCTGCATAATCATCGTAGCTGAAGGAACTGTGAAAAAGGGAGAGAGCCATCTACATTGCAGATTGTTTTCCTTCTTTCTTCTTTTTTTTCAGCATGGAATAAACCTATTACGTGTTCCTTTGCAGCATACACATGCTGATGCAGCTACCCAGCTGAACAACTTGTTATTATATATGCTTAGCATACACACTTTTCTAATTGTCCACTTGTTCACTTGTCCTTAACTTCCCCTGCCACCATTCATATCAGGCACCTTTTTGCAACAGGAGCTGCTACTACCCTGCAAATATCTATTCAGCAGCACAACCATACTGTATACAGTATATCCCCTCTGGCCATTTCAAGATCGCTCAATACATCATGTTTGTCTAGCAGCTCATTTATTGTACATCTTGCAGAAAGTGTTCAGATATTTAAATTGCTGAAACAGGAAAGAGACTGGGTGTGTCTTTCCAGGATATTGTCACTATATTGACAATCAAAGATCAATCCATGTCGATTTCAAGTTCCCCATTTTACCTGTCCCAGCCATGATTACACTGACTTTTTTGTCTGCAACCTTATATAAGATACCAGGTGCCACAATTATCCATAAACTAGGTTTGCACCTTCCAATTATTTTCCAATTTGTATCTAAATCTTTATATTCAAATAGAGTTTTTAACCTTCTGCAATTTTTCCTGGAATTTGCCTCCTAGATTTCTGTGGTTCTTTGAACCCCCTTGCTAAACCATCTGAAGAAGCTTCACTGCCGAAATATTAGGATTGCCAAAAAATGTCCCCATAGAATTGACTTCTACTTGCTCCTTTGCGGCATGCGTGCTGACATAGCTCCTTATTTGAACCCCTAAAAATAGTTGTTGCCCAAATAATTAGTTCAATTAAGTAACTAACTTGAATGAAAACCAGGGTTGCTCATCACACATGTAAAGTATTTAATAAAATTTTACAGTGTAAGTC